GAAGTGAATATACGTGGAACAAGCAACTAAAACCTTTGTGTCGGAAGGAAGACTAACGGATGATAGGGGCCATAAGACAACGGCTTTCACTGTTGCTTGAGACAGTAGAAGGACATCGAGCATCATCAGAGGTTTAGCATGATTTTACTGTTACTGATTGAAGTTTACATATATGTTTACCAGTGTCGTAAGCTTCTCGAACCTGCAGAAAGCATGACAGATGCTGACGCTTAATTTCTAAAATTAAGCGTCCAGCATACATCTAGACAGCTAGGTATGTTTTGCAGCAAAGAACTATGGATTATGACAAGGGGTCAGAAGTGTGGACACATCTTTGGCTTTGCTTCACACTTTATCAAGCTTCATTAAGCTTCATATCCGAGATGGTCACGCCAGACTCATCAAGTCTTTTTCGGCCCAACCGATCCTGCCGTCTTCCGTCGGAAGCTGCCAGGCGCCCAGACCACGTTCGAGCCCCAGCGAGAGCTTGCCGGCACGAGCCTTGATCTCCCAGAGCCGTTGGCCCCAGAAGGACGGAGCAGCGCCTTCGTGGCATGCCGGCGTGGTTCCAACATGGGTGAAAGACTAGTCATGGGTGAAACGTCCTTCTTGCGATCGGAGATAGGTGCTTGTGCTGACGGCTTGCAGATGCGGCTTGTCCAACTGATGTGAGGAATGCAGATGTTGGGAGGGTGTGCATGGTGTGCTGTTCCCATGGAGTCAGGTCAAACATGCTTCGGAGGCATTTCCAACGATTCAGACATGAACCCCCAAGTGAACAAGATGCTTCTTCACTACTCCTGACGAGTCGTAAGAATTCTACAACATTTGTCAGACAAACTTCTGCTAAAGTTTGTAGGACAGACAGACCAAACAATGGATCAAGTTTTGTCCCTCAACATGATTGTATGCTGGGACATATGCTTTCAGGCCCATGTCATAAATGTTGGAGGCCATCGCTACTATGGTGGAGGCCATCGCTACTAGGGTAGAGGCCATCGCTATTTATTAGGTTGGAGGCCATCGCTACTAGGGTGGAGGTCATCGCTATTAGGTTGGGGGGCCATCGCTACTAGGTTGGAGGCCATCTCCAATAGATCTATTTTTCATTTCGCCAGCTGATTTCGTCCTTGCTAGGCTCCCTGGCATTGGTGCTCTTTCCCCCTGTTTGGGAAGCTATTGTGGACCGACGTTTTGCATATTGTTGTTTTGGTGGAGTGGAAGTCGGTCTGCGGTGTCAGGAGGAAGGGGAAGCGGTGGTGTCTGCCGGCCGGCTATCACTCAAAAAGGTCAGGAGCCTAGTTGACCAATCCGTTGGGAGAAGCTGAAACTGTTAACAAGAAGCCACTAGTAGCGATGGCCTCCACCCACTAGCATCTTGTTAGTAGAAGCCAATCCAAATCCGTTTATCCAACTTCTCAAAGATCAACCCCTCACCACTGACAATCGCGGATGTGTGGAGTGGTTTCAACTTGCGGGACCTTGGGAGTCCCAATCATTTGGGAGGGAAGGCAGGTAGATGTCCCGTCCACTGGTATATCCCAATTCAAGACAGAGGCATGAATATGGCACAACGGACATACGTGTCCAATTGTGACATAGAACACAAGGCAGGTTCTATTTCTAGATAGAAGACTCCTTGTAAGAGAGATCTGCAGATACGAAGGAGGAGCTTTGAAGATATAATATAATATATGTATATAATGGCACCTGTTGTTTGAGGCCAAGCCAAGGGAATGCTCACCTTTCTCCTCCCAGCTTCGCGCGACATATTGACATATATTGTGCGTATGTCAGCTTATCCCCGAAACTGTACACACACGAAGAGATCCATCAAATATATGACAAAAGACAAGCAGATGAAAGACCATAGGTCGGGGGCTGGTTTTGAGATATGCCAATATTATACAGAACATGTGCGTTGTTAAATGTTTTCCGAGACGAACCCACAAAAACAAATTTCTTGTTTTGACTTTCACAATGAGTGCTGACTCGTCAGAGTTGCTCGGAACCGAGGTTGGATCTGCAGTGCTTGCAGCGACCTTTTCGTGACTGAGTTCTTCCAAAGGTTTTGTGCAGAGCTGATTGGACGAATAAATCAAACTTCCAGAAGAAGTTTGCAAAGAGACTTTAGACCCTGCGCAGTGGTCAGTTTGTCCAAGAGAGCTTGTCCTCTCCAGCTTCGCTGAACTTGACATTTTTGTGTGCCCGGAAGGTGGCACTCGCTGTGTAGGGCTTTTCCGGACCTCTCCTGCCAAAGGTAGTGAGGATCCGAGCCACAGGCTTCTTAAGGAATGCTGAACCCCATCAGGGAGGCTCAATGTGTCGGAGTAGCATCTCACTGCCAGGCACTTTTGATTCGCCACCACATGGTTTTGGACCCATCAAATTTCAGGACAGTACCCAAACTGAGTGTTTGTCACCTCAACCCTTTGCCGGCTCCGACGCTGACTGAGGCTGTGTCTCTTAAAAAGCTATCGTCACCGCAGGGGCATGTCTCAACATGGGGGAAATCCTCCACCAACCTCGCTGATACAGATCTACCGGAATTTCGCTCACTCCAAGCCCGTGGACTTGCTGAATTGAATGCCATCAAACATTACTAGTAGCGTCCTTGCTCTTAGTAGTATGGCCAGGAGCCCCTAGTAGCGTCCTTGCTCCTAGTAGTAAGGCCAGGAGCCCCTAGTAGCGTCCTTGCTCCTAGTAGCGATGCCCTTTGCTCCTAGTAGTGTCCTCGCTCCTAATTGCAGAACCGACATTAGGTCGTTTAAGATATGTTACCGATATGGCCCTGTGGCCCCACAGCCAGGTGTATTCAGGGTGAGACTGGCTGCGGCAAGTCAACACGGGTGCCAGTCTATGTCATGGAGGACGGCTAAGGGGATTCTGTTCACATGAAACCTGGACAGCCTATTTTTTGGGGTCGAGAAAACAGGACTAGATTGCTAGGCGGATCCCTTTGCTTTGTTGGAGTGCCGCCCTTGGCTGTCGAGAGCTCAAAGTGTCTTTTTTTGGAGGAGTACTTCGAGCAGCGACGAGCTGGGAAGGTCAAGAAGGAGGATAAGTTTATGGTCTTGTGCACTCAGCCAAGGCCCGGAGGTTGCAAAGGGTGTGTGGTGAGGATTTCATCGCAGCGTCAGAATCTGTGCAGGCCTAGAGGCCTAGACTCACCTTTTTGTGAAGTGCAAGATTGGAAAGTCTGACCCCGGCTGGACTCTGTGAGTGTCCAGCACAATGGAAGAGGGACCATCTGACCAGTTGATCTGTCTCGCTTTTGCTTGTGAGCGGTGCTGACCATTCCAACCCTGTCCAACCATGAGACCCGAGGCCGGCCGACACCAAACCCTAGAATAGTAACAAGTGCCTCGCTTCTAGTAACAAGTGCCTTACTAGTAGTAACAAGTGCCTTACTAGTAGTAACAAGAACGCTACTAGTAACATGAGTAAAAAATAAGCCAGCCCTGTGCCCTATGAGTTGAAAAGACGACCCATGAGCACCCACGCGCTTACCGGCACCGAGCAGAGGGGACAGGCCGACCGCTTTTTTTCGCCGTCTCAAGTAAGCTTCTAGTTACCAGACAGCTTTACTAAGAAGCTTTATTGTTACTAGTAGCGATGGCCTCCGAGCTAATAGCGATGGCCTCCACCTTGTAGCTTCTAGTTACTGGAAAGACTATCCCTCTCTAAATTCGAGCAACCATCCCTACAATAGCATACAATAGCTTTATCATGCTTTATCATTGTCAACATTCTTCATTCTCCCTCATGCGCTTGACCCTATATATGCCCGTCATGTGCGACTCTACCGAGCCGCCATGGCCCTCCGCCGCTGCCTCCGCCGCTGCGCTGCTGGAATTCCACCACCGCCGCCGCCCCGCCCAAGCTCGCTGCGGCTGCAATCCCCAGCCACACCACCCGCGGCCACATATGTCAGGAGCAACCTGCATAAGGCATGATTTGGGCTAAACAGCGCATATTCTCCTTAGAGTTGAGAGGTCATGGGTGGTTTTCTTTCAGCTAGCTCGGACGTTTGACGATCTTTCGATTTTTCCATAGCCCCAAAAATGGAAGATGCTCTTTTCTCAGCCTCCATTTCCACATGATCTTCCAAAATTCATTCGAATCTCCTTGCCTCCAACTCTCTCTCTCTCTCTCTCTTCCGATCTCTCTTCCTCCACGATCAGCAGGCTTTGGCGGCGGCGGGTGGGCAACAGCAACCAGAGCTGGTCTTTTCCTGTTTTTGGCGTAACATGGCACTTGGTCGGGCTGGATGTGAGCGGACCGGCGATGCCTGAAGACCAGCAGGTAAGCATGACGTGAAAGCCGATAGTACACCAAGGTATATACACAACCTACTTGCAAGGGGATGCCAGGTTTTTGGTTTGCTCAGGATTTGAAGGAGCCACCTTCTAGAAAACAGACTGCTACTGTCCCCTGAAAATAGTCAGATTTGCAGGAGCCCTTGGACTTGAGGTATCGATACCCGCACCTGCATGACTTGTTCATCTGGAACAACCTTGGCCTTGCTTGAAACATAATTTCTTTGTCCGTGGCCCAAGAAGAACAGCAACTAGTGCTTGGCAGGTCCTCTTGCCCGGGCTAAAGCCGCAACAGGGAACTTCCACTCCGTGTTGAACAGGTTTTGAAGAGGGTCGCATAAGTCGTTTCTTTTTTTTGTGCATATGCCATATGGTCGAAGCCAGTAGCAGCAACATGCACCGAATTAAAACAAGCCATTGTGGAACGCAGGCCCTCGCCCAGCTGAAGCATCAGTTGAACTTTCGAGCCCCTGCTTCCAAGCAAACAAACCAACAATGGATGCAAGACTTGATATGCCTACATCCTCGGATAAGTCGAGCAAAGGTGGGCTTGTGCACCTAACGGCTGAGTATGGTCCTCTAGCCATGCGCTCGCACACTCCAAACAAAAATATAAACGGGAACAGCAGCATAGACATAGCTGACCCGCCGCAGTCAGGTTTGGAAAACAAGCACGGAATTTCAAATTGCATACGTGCCACGGTATTCCTGCGGGCGCGCGCGCAGGCCATCACATTGGCACTTCCTACGCCCTGCGCATTTGCACAGCTCTCCTCGCATGTCCTTCAGGTAATCTCCGAAGCTTTGTAGAGTCGTTCGAGAACCACCACTACTTCCTCCCTGGTTGACCTGCATGTACTTCGAGTAGTCTCCGAAGCTTCGAAGGGTCATTTGAAAGCCACCATTCAAGGTGTTTTCACTGCTTGTTCTCTCGTTGCCCTCCATGTACTTCGAGTAGTCTCCGAAGCTTTGTAGGGTCATTTGAAAGCCACCATTCAAGGTGTTTTCACTGCTTGTTCTCTCGTTGCCCTCCATGTACTTCGAGTAGTCCCTGAAGCTTTGTAGGCTCATCTGAAAGCCACCATTCAAGGTGCCTTCACTTGTTCTCTCGTTGCCCTCCATGTACTTCGAGAAGTCTTTGAAGCTTGGTAGGGTCTTTTGAAAGCCACCATTCAAGGTGCTTTCACTGCTTGTTCCCTCGTTGCCCTCCATGTACTTCGAGTAGTCTCCGAAGCTTTGTAAGCCACCATTCAAGGTGCCTTCACTTGTTCTCTCGTTGCCCTCCATGTACTTCGAGTAGTCTTTGAAGCTTGGTAGGGTCTTTTGAGAGCCACCATTCAAGGTGCTTTCACTGCTTGTTCCCTCGTTGCCCTCCATGCACTTCGAGTAGTCTCCGAAGCTTTGTAGGGTCATCTGAAAGCCACCATTCAAAGTGCTTTCACTGCTTGTTCTCCTCTCCTATCTCCAAAGTCCAGAAGCAGCCAGCACAAAGCAATCACTATGACAAAAGGCGTGGCATATAGGCCACTGGGGCACGCGAGTTGTTCTTATCTTCAGCATTAGCAAACTCGAGCCCTTCCATCTGTTTTGAACAAATCGACAACTCACCCAAGCCTTTGCTCTTAAAATTGCAAAAATACAGTATGTCCTCTCCTAGTTTGAGCCACTGCCATGTTCTGCAGCCTGTTCGTGATGTTGGCGAAAACCGATGGTGAGGCTACTGTGATCGCTTTGAGCCAAGCGTCGTAGAACTGGACGCCTCGTTGAATGCGCTGGTGAAATGCAACAGGCGCATTATGGCGCATTGGTCTTTGTTTCGAAGCTACTAGGGGCTCCTGGCCTTACTACTAGGAGCAAGGACTATGGCATCGCTACTAGTAGCATTCTTGCTACTAGTAACAAGAAGCTAGGTGTGTTCTCCGCTTGAGGGTCCTTGCTTCTGTTGAGGTGCTGCAGTTCACCGGTCCTTTTTTGTGTCGACGATTATTTGTTTTGTTTGTTTTTAATTGTCTTCTGGTGATCCTTTGGTAAGTCGTGCTTTTCTCATTGCCATTCTTCACAAGCTAAGCTGATAATTTGGCTCCAATTGAAGGTGATGGAAGGCAAACTATTCCAGCCCAGGTAAGAAACTAATCAGAGAAAAACAACCCCTAAAAGCTAGAATTTGATCAGGGTTTGACCCTCGGTCACTGTCCCCCTGACCTTTGCTTATAGCTGGCGATTGGCACACTTAATGCGAGTAGTGGCGGACGCGGCCCATCGACCACCTTCGTGGCGCAGAATTCTTCGCTTCTTGTTACTAGTAGCAAGAATGCTACTAGTAGCGATGCCAGGAGCCCCTAGTAGCGTCCTTGCTCCTAGTAGTAAGGCCAGGAGCCCCTAGTAGCTTCGAAACAAAGACGGTTTCATTATGAAAGGCATTTTGCGTTCAGGTTCTTTTTTAGAATCTTCTCCCATGTAAACCGCCTCTTACAGTACTTTGTGTATGCGTTTTACCTTTTCTCAAGCTTTAGTTTGGCAAACAGTCTTGCAAGAGGTTTGTAACTAGTCACCGTGTAAATTTGTATTGGTCACTTAATTCTTGGTCCTGAACCTAGGTGAAACAAATACCTTTCATACAAGTAAGAGGTCTCATAAATAAAGTCTTCTTCCCGTTGCAGCAAAGTTAAATGCAATGCTGCGGCTGAGTTTAAGGGAGGCTTTTGTAGTGTTGCACTTGCGTGTATGAAGACCATATCAAGACTACTCGGGGGCTTTGGACTCTACTGTAGCTGCCAAGCTAGGCTTTGACCACGGCTGAAACCCGCCGAAACCATCGCCAGGGACGCCTGGAGCTCCCAGCAGTTCGGAGGAGCAGAAGCGTCGTCTGACCATTGAATGGTTCTTCAGAGCAAGAAGTTTTCTTAGAAGTAAATCGCCTTGGGCAAGAGAGATGACGAAAGATGTGGTGATTTGGGCACTGCTCAACCTGAAGGAGCACGCCTGATAACTGTAGAGGAGGGTCCTTTTCAATTCAAAAGACGTTCAACATATTTCACAGACAGGATTGCCTTCAAGCTAAGCTAGATATGTTGTGAGAGATGTTTCAACAAGATCTTTAGAATAGGAGATTCCTGACTCATGTGTATGGACCTCAAAGAACCTTGCGTTGCTCCAATGGGCATCAGCCATTGGATTCTGGGGGAGTTGCGATTCTACTGTACCGACCAGGATGTGAAGGAAATGCTGCGCTGACAGACAAAGACATTTTGCGACTTCTTGGGTACATTGAACAGCTTTTGCCAACGACTTCTGCTGGAGGCAGGTTTGTGGGGTGTTGACGTGCCAAAGAAGTGTTTCAACACATTGATATGTTGGAGCCATTGTTTCTAGTGACTTCTAGTGGTTGTAAACGTCCAGAGTCTAGAGCTACATTCCTGGTGGTGCAGGAAGCCAGTCGTCCTGACATGAGCACTTGATGATCTACGAGCCAGGGATGTTTTCAAACATGGATAGATATTGATGGACAGACTTGCTCAAGAGAAGCCTCCAACAGCCACACCATTCCTCATGTTCCCAATCTCTCCCTTAGGCGACCTTAACAGAGTGCTCGGCTAGCTGCGGTAAGTTCATCTTCAGGACGAGCTGTTCTACACCACTTCCGAGTTTGTCCAAAGACCAGATGCTGCAAGGTTCCCTGTTTCCTTTTAGACCTTGACGACGAACAGATTTCGACTGAGACGCTTAAAGGCGTACTCTCTTCGTCCGACGCAACGCCAACAGCGACAGGCACCGATGCCCAGAGGTACCTCACAACGTTTGCCTGGGAGCGGGGCCCAAGGAGAGAGGGAGCGAGACCTCCAGTCAGACTCGTCAAACGAGTCATGAGATGTCATGAGATGTCATGAGATGTCATGAGGTCATCGTGTGCCTGGTCATGGTGTGTTTTGTGGGTCTTTTTTGAATAGCTTCTAATTAGTGTCTAGAAGTAAGAACAACACGAGATCAGCTTGACATCCAGGGTCTGATGGACCCTCGCGTCTTCACCAAGTCATTTTTTCAGCTAGTGAAGAGGAAGCTTATGAAGGTTGGATGCTGGAGGGTATCTATCTTGGGTTGCGTTGGCGCATGTTCAGTTAATATTCCATGAGCACTTCCCATGATTGGCTTTTGCTCTTTCGATCAATGTCAAAGCAACAAGCTATGGTAAGTCGGGCTTGTTTCTTGGCTATCAAGATCCTAGAATGAGTTGGGAAATGGATTTTTGCCTCAAGACTAAGGTTCGGGTCGTCAGATTCCAGGTGTGATTATTTTGTTTTGTCTTCAGAACTTGTCAGGCTGCAATGCAATCACCGCCAGTTGTCCTCCCCGCAACGGAAGTGGTGCACGGAGCAAGCGGTTCTGGAAATCCTCGTTTCCTCTACAGCGCATTGCTACCACCCCAACCATCCCCCTTGACATTCGTGGTATTCGGTGAGCAATGACACTTGCTAAAATGATGAAAGTGAGACCAATTTGGGAAGGACGTGCCAGGTTGAAGGACTTGCCACACTACAAGCAGGGGTCATGCTCAGCTTCGATCGTTTCAGGGTGTATTATATAGACAGTAAATTCAGTAGACCTGAGAAAGTCATCACAGCCATCTAAGAGCTACCGAGGCCCTGGCCAGCCTCGCACATTGGCAGCCAAAGCTTTCTCCAGAGGTGACGGAGTTTTTGTTTTCTAGTACTTATATATGCAGCAGGATCACTTCAGTTTTTGCACTTGTTTGAACTTAAAAACAACTGATGGCACAGGATGATTTTAGGGTGGTTCTGCTTCGAGCCAAGCACTGGCGGCCAGTGCTCGACCACCCAGTCTAGGTCTTAAAGCGCTTGGCGGCCATCTTCGAAGTGATCCTGGAAGCCCGGTGATCTTCGAAGGGACCGGTCGACGAGTTGATGGATGTTCGACCTGATCGAAGGGTCGACTGATCGATCCAAGAATCCTTCTGAGCTCAAAGCGTGATGAAGGGGAGTTTGGGGCATGTTTGACAACTCCAAAGAGGTCTTGGAGTCTCGTTTCCTCGTGCTTTTGATTCACTGTAGACGTTATGTACAAGAGTCAGGAAGGAGGGATCTGGCTCTAGAACTGTCCGTGTTGACAAGTCCCTTGACACGCGAAACACAGCTGCTGGACAATCTTGACATCTCAGCAATTTTCAGATACCAACCCTCCTGCTAGTGTCAAACACCATCTCTTCAATATTTATTTTGCTGTGGTCAAGACTGATTAGAGTAAAGAGGCTTACTCACACTACAGTAATATGAAGTAGGGTACTGTATGACTCCAACTCCAGTAGCCTGCAAGAATGCACGTGGTCAAGCTTGCTCCGTCTGTATGGCCGAATCCCGAAACTGATGTCGGGGCCTCGTTGTCCTTTGCCGTAAACGTCCAAGACTGCTGAGGGGCTAGAAATTTAGGCAAGAATACGCAAGAAAATCCGCAAATAAATAAAAAGAGAAACTCGGTGTTTTCCTTATTTGAGTGCAACTCTTGACCACTGATAGCATTCCGAGAATTATCCACACACCTTTTGTGCCAATCCCCACAAGCTGTGGCCTCCACCGGTGGGCGAAAAAGCTGAGGAAATGGTCGAGCCACTACTGGAGAGCTTTGAGCTACTGAGCTGAAGACAAGAACTGGAAGGCTTCGCAGCTGGGCCAAGGGTATGATAAAATATGATAAACATCCCCATTGGAATTTCCTGTAGGAAATGGGTGCCCTTAGGCCTGTCATAAGGCCGTTATTTTTTTTGAAGAGAGTAATGTTTTTTTTTTTTTTTTTAAACTTTCTGGATCCATATGCATTTTATAGAAATCGATGGTGTTGATTGATGACATCTGTGGCAGAGATCATATGCAAAACAAGCCATTTTCTAGAGACAAATTTGAAGGGTGAAATACTCTTCGACAAGACGTTGGGCATATCATTTTCTAGAGGCAATAAAAAAGCAGTGTTCATGTTGTTTTCCATGAACGCATGAGCGCAGCATGAGCGGCATGATATTGTTTTAAAGTCTATTTATATAAGTCTACTTTTGTGAATCGTCCTGGACCTCCACAAAATGGATCTTCACAACCTCCGGTTTAGCATTGACATAGATGATGTCTAGAAAATGCAAGTCCAACCTTTGGCAATTTTCCTCAAATTGCTTGCAAAGGTTGTGTATAACCATTTTCTAGAGGCCAGCTACTGACCGTCCTACTCTTGTTTTGAGTTTTTCTTGTTTAGATCCGTGTGCATTTTATAGAGCACTATTTTTCAGGCATCCGCTGTCATTTTCTAGTATTTTCTGACCCCGAAACCTTTATACCTATATATATATATAAAATAGTCCGCCCAACCCCTCCTTGAAATCCTAATAGGGATTGATAACATCTTCTCAGCAGCTTGAAAAAAAACAACCTGGACTTGATGTAGCATAGCATCAAAAGGAAGCTAAAGTGAGCCCATGGTGAAGAGTCGCGAGAGTTGTTACGGTACCAATACATCTATAAACGTGTCTATCATAAGATATAGACTATGTCAAATGAACAACACGTGAAATAGAAAGTTGAAACTACTCTTGCAAGAGTTGACCAAGAGTCTGAATAGGAAAAAGAGCAGCGGATACATTTGTGGCCACACATGTGCTGATCAAAGCTGATCAACAAACTGCTTGGGTTCCCAATAGCTGAGAGTGGATTCGAGGATCCGAGAAACTGAGTCCCGTCCTTGAACGACTTGGTTCTTGAAGAAACACATTTATACTAGTTTTGACTACTCTATTCCAACTCAAGGAGCC